GCCCCAGGGGGGTGCACCACCACAGAGAGAAGGACCAGGGCCTCCTGCAGCTCAGGGGTTCGTCAGCCCGCCGGCAGCTTGCCCCCCAGCCATGGGAGAGGTGGGCAGGCTCCACAAAAAAAAAAAAAAGAGGATCAGGCTCTTTGCCACTTCTGCCTTCATCAGGTGCCTGTTGAAGGTAGAAATGGCAAGGGGCTAGATCCTTTTTTTCTGTGGAGCCTACCCACTGGGGGATGAGCTGACAGCTGCATTGTTGCAATTTGCAACCTGAACCACATCCGGATGTAGTTTAGTTTGCAATGATACAAAGCCATTTAAACCCCCCCCAACATCTTGTATGTGTACATTGTGACGCCATTAAGCTACACAAAGTGACATTTTTGTCATGTGTACATGTTAATGGTGTCACATGCACAAGCACCCCCCAGATAGCATTTTATCCTTTGCCTGTTCAGGCCACTCGGTCTGTCAGAGACATGTCTTGCTGCTTCCTCCCCGTTACTCCTCTGAGCTGTACCATACCTTCCAGGGGCTTCTGATGTGGATGCCTTCCTATTGTTGTAAATGCGCATCCCCATCGTGGTGTTCTTTGTCCCGGTTTCCCATTCTCATTCAGAGTGCTATCCTAAACCACAGCTAACTTGTCACACTTTCCTCTAGCACTGTATCAGTCAGGATAATCACTCTTCACTCACAAGCTCTGTGCCTTATGTATTGACTTTAGCAACCAGACCTTGACAAGTCAGCTGCCTGGGCTGGAGCTAGCAGTGGCGGTGATGTAGCTGTGATGGTCCAGGGGTAGAAGAGAAGTAAGTTCTGTGAGGCAAAGTAATAACTTAGTTAAACTAATTGAATTGTCACCTGGGAACTAACTTACTTGTAAAGTCAAAAGGTCTGTGCAGGAGTCCTAAACACTAATTTGACTCTCTGTCTAAAAGGCATTATGGACTGATACATGGTTCTGTGGCAGCTTCCGTTTCTACACCTACCATGTAAAGACAGTGGCTGAGTCGAGAAATGCAGAGCAATCAATAGGAAGCTCCTCTCAATAGACTAGGAACTAAGTTCAGGGCTGACTGGGAAAGAAATAGGCTGAACTGCAATATCCCAACTTTCCTGCCATCCTTTATTCTCTGCAGCAGGAACCTCACCTTATCCTCCAGGAGGGAAAATAAAATCAGGCCTAGAAGATCATCCAGGACTTTTTTCCCCCCCTTTTTCAGCTGCTGCCAAAGTATCAGTGTTACAGGATGAGCTAACGCTGCGTTGATTATTGAATTATTTAACGATCCGTTTGCAGCCATCCCTTTGTTGCTGACGGTCTTCACCTGTAGCACGTTACCTGGGCTCACAGGTGGTGTCCGTGATGCCACCAGAAATTAGAAAGAGATTCTCTCTTGCCCATGAAACGGGAGAAGGAGAATACCAGTGATGTCAGCTTTCTGTCGGGCTTGCAGTGTTGTCAGGTGAAGGCTTCCTGTTTCAGGGATGGATTCTTAAATAGAAATACATGGTTTTGCTCCACAGTTCTCATTGGTGCTAATGGCAGCTGTACAGCTTGAGATGGATGCATGGAATAGGAGCAAGCAGCCCTGGTTCTCCTCTGGTTTCTGATAGTGTAAATCAGAGGTCAGTGGAGATGCACCAGTGTCAATGAGAGGAGAATCCGACCAGGCAGGCACAATTTGGACCTCATGGCAAATTCTTGGCGTCACACCTTCTAAGTGTCACTCCAGTGGTACTTAGTTAAAAAAAATTCTGCATTGAGAAAAAGTCCTGTGGTGGGGAAAACAGGGGTCTAAATTGCAATTTGCTCTCCAAGTGACATTACGGTGTGCTAGATTTGTGCAGCAGAGCTGATTAGCTGAGGGACAGGGCTATGCTGTGGGATATGTAGCGTTTCTGGTTTTGGAGCTTACAGAGCTGCTTAAGACATACGGACTTCCCTTTCTGCACAGAGCTGCATATGTCCATGTGTCTTAAGCAGCTGACCAGGTCTCCCATTTCCTAGGCAGGTGCCCTAAGCACTAAGTTACTAAGCCAAAGGTGGGCAGGCGGGCCACCTCTTCCTACATAGAGCTGCCTGCCTGGCCTCAGCTCCGAGCCATCACTCAGCCTGGGTTTGATCTGTCTTTGGAATCGGGAACTCAAGCAGTGTTTACCCTTCCCAGGCAAAACTCAATCACGCCAGACCTTAGATGCGAGCTGAATGTTTAGATGGCCATTTGGGGTTGCTACAACGTGCTGAGTAGGCCAAGTCTAGTCACCTAGGGATCTTGGCAGGCCGTAATGAGTGTAAGGCTAGAATAGGATTGTGCTTGACGACCTTAGATGACTAAGAGCTGTGTAAGTTAGGCACCTTAGAGGTGGAATAGGATCTGGGCCAATTTAAACTAGTGAGCTCAGGCACCAGTAACACTCCTAACAGCAGTCGCACGGAGCTCAGCATGAGCTAATTGCCTGGAGATTTATCCAGCTTCTCAGGTGGGTTTGCAGCTCGTGCTGAGCATAGGTACTGTAGCTCTGCTTCTACCAGGGTAAGGGCCAGCTCATTTAAAGCTGGCTCAGGAGAGCCCATGCGACACTGCAGTCGCAAGGACTGTGGTCCTCCCCGAGGTCAATTCTCCATGCAGCCAGCGGGCCTCTGTAGGTGCTGTTGTAATAGAGATAACACATAATCAGATCCTCAGTGTCCAGTGGCCTGGGTGCTCACACGCCGATCTTTGTGTAGGAGAGTCTAGTGTTACTACAGTGAGCCGTAATATAAAACGGGCGGCCATGATGACTGGCTGACAGCCAGCTGCAGGCTTGTTTTCCTCCATTGTCCATGTTCCCTTAGTCCCCTTGGCCTATGTCCTTATTCCCCCACTCTACACAGCACCTTTTTTTAAAAAAAAAAAGCAACGTAGATCCGCAAGGTGATTTAGTGGTATGGCTCTCCCAGTCCATTCTGCAGTCTGACCCCCGTCTCCCGCACGGAGATGAAGGGACAGGGACTGGGTGTGCTACAGAAGCAATGTGCTGAGGTCTCTGTCAGGAAAAGAGAGGGTCATATCTCTTAGATTCAGGTGCCTCTAGCTGATTGAGACCTGTGCCCTAGTGTCCAAGGAGTCTCTACCCACTCAAAGTTCAGAGAAAGGAAAATAAGTGATGCACAAGTGCCTCTTCTTCACTGGCATTATACATTCGAATAGGGGTAGGCAACCTTTTCCAGCGGTGGGCCTAGGTCATAGGGTGGTGGATGGGTAAGCTGGGCACTAATGTCGAGCCACCACTGCTGCTTCTCCCAGTGACAACAAGGGGAAAGCACCTGCAGCCAAAAGTACCCGCACCCCTCCACTGAATGCCACCAAAACCCTGTGTCCACAAGCCAGATCCCGTGGTTCCACAGGCCAGATGTGGCTTGTGGTTGCTGTCTCCTGCATTAGAAGGATTGTGCTGTTACCAAAAGAAATTGCATTTAGGTGAGATGCTTCAAGAGAAGAAAGGCCCCCATACTTATCACCAGCTAAAAGCTAAGTGCATTATTATACACTGCAGTGAGCCAGGAAAGGAGGTGGTAGAGAAAGATGTGGCAAGAGGTAACGTGCTTATTATTCATTCATCCCACAGCAGGGTCAGAGCACCCTAGCAATTAGACCAAAGGACCTGGCTTCAAGACTTAGGTTTTATTTCAGACTACCTCTGGCTGAGCACGTGAGGATGGCTGCAATGTGTAATCTCCCTGTGCCTGTGCACTGCGCTCTGGCAGCTCCAGTATGCAGGACTTTGCACAAAGGTTAATTTATGAGTGAACCTAACCTGTGCTGATACATCTCTTCACACGCGTTCTGTGACATCAGGGTACAGTATTATTTTGTCAGATGCCTGTGTCCGGGGATTTTATTGCAGATGTTATTGCCAGTAACCTACAGGCAGAAGAACCCAAACCTGGGTTAGACACCAGTGGATGCTGGTTGCCTCTGGTCACTGAAAGCGCTCAGGGAGATGTGTGAAGTCCTCTTCAAATCATAGGCCTTCTGTAAGGGCCCCACCAAAGTGATTTCCTCTGTCCCACAGGTTGAATGTGAAGCCTGGGGAATCGTGAAGTGTTGAATAATAAATGAGTAAGGGCTTAGGTTTGGGGCTCCTGGGCTTGCCTGCTTGTTGATTGCTTGATGGATGTTCATTGTCTGTAGGGGATGAGCAGCCAAAATGTATGACCCACTGAAGACTTCAGTGTTGCAAAGTGTTTAGAAATTCCCTGTATAGGCAACCAAAACTTTCCCAAATGTGGGGAATCCTAGTGAACATCTGGACCCTCTTGGCAGCCAGCCGGGACAGGCCTTCTGGGGAGGGGTGTGCTAGAACAGTTCTCTTCTACCTTGAAAGACACATAACGCTGGCAGAGTCTCCCTATGCCTGAAGAAGTGCATTTGTGCCCAAAAGCTTGCAAAGAACAATTTTTCCAACTATTTAGTTGGTCTAATAAAAGAGATCACATCTACCCAAACAACCTTGCCTGCTTATGTCCTTAGCTCAACATGGCTACAGCCAACAACCCTAGTGCAGTGTGATACACAGGGACTGTAGGATTCCCCTGTCACAATTTGCATGCATGAAATGCTTTGGGGCCTCAGAGGAAAGATGTTATCAGGCCCCAGCCTTCAACATCTACTCATATGAGAAGTCCTTATGCGAACTCTCCTCCTGGACAACAAACTGCAAGGGATTGACTGCTACAATTTGCACTTTCAGGTGATTTCAGTCCATGGCCCAGCCTCACTTATACCATAGCGCTGCACAAGCAATGCACCTCTGAACACCTTCCACTCAATTATTTAAAATTCAGTTGCTATGGAGCTGCAGGAGGCGATCAGTTAGAAAGAAATGCAGATGGCCTCTGGTTTTGAGTTCCCCCTGTGCTTTGGTTAATTTGGCTTGTGAAGGTATTAGGTTAATTAAATGCCATGTGTTGTATGGGGACTGACTGACTGCATTTGTGGATTAATAAGTACCCAAGCGTATTCTGTACCTGAAGCCTGGAAGCCCGCAAGCTGCCAACCCGTTACTGGACTGAGAAAGGAAGGAAAAGGAAAGAAGTCTTGGCGAAATGAAGAGACTTGCCTTTCTTTTTACACTTGCTTTTCCAGACGGCCTGAAGGCAGAATTGTTGATTGCAGCTACTTCTTTTTCTCCTACTAAGGATCACCCGTTGCTGGAAAGGCTAGGAGGGCATTAAGTGAAAAAGGGGAATGTTCTCCATTTGGGATACAGGATCCTCCAAGGCAAAGTAATATAGGAGAGACCACTCACAAGCAACTGGTGAGCCAGGGGTAAAGCTTTACTTAAACCGATATCTGGCAGCTCTTCTCTTAGGACAGGACCTTTGTTGAGGACTTTATTGTGAACTGGGAAAGAGAGTGTCTTGCAGCAGGAGGGCATAGTTACAATCGCTGTCCTGTAACAGGAGGGAGAAAGCCAGACAGCTGACAGCCCTCAAGAGCCTGGGGTCCTTTCCCAGCGCGTGCACTGTATAGGTAGGAGCCGGGGGAAAGGACCACATTTTGCAGCAGCCTTTTGGGAATGCTAAAGGGACCGAAGCCACCAGCATCATGCAGCCCTGCCCCGAGGAGATGGACAGCCCAGAGAAAGACCAGGGCAAGTGGGCTCTGCTCCGAAATGTGAACCAAGCACTGAAACCCTCGACTCTCCTATCGGTAAGAAAGGGCTCACCGGCTCTAAACACTGCTGGTGACTTGCAAACTCCTTGGACTCTAGAGCATGTTACGGCTTAGTCCTTATAGTACCTGTGAAGCTTCTCACACGCTCACATCATTGCTTCTTCGTTGTGGCCCCCTCTGCACAATACAACCTCCCTGAGCATTTTTGCAGAGTCCCTTGTGTGTCCACATTTAAGTTCCTCTTACAGATCCACTTCTTTACTGGGTGCAGTGAGTTGCGTTGACCCGTATATAAATTACCTGTTGTTCCCCCTTCCTATATCTCTGTCTGTCTGTCCTTAGATTGTGAACTCCTCGGGCCAGGAAGAGCCCACGAGTTTTTAGAAAGTGCCTAGTGATTAAAAGATGTCTTGGGTTTTTGGGTGCAATGCTGTCTGTCCTAAAATGTCATCAGGATGAGCCACAGCACAGCGCGTTACGTGACGATTACTGACCAGTTGGATGGAACTGATTAATGGGCGACTTAGAAACCACTATGAAATACTCTTTGCTTTGCTCATTCCTGTGGGACCCGAGACAAAACCTGTTGAAGTTGATAGAAAGCCTACCATTGACTTCAGTGGGCTTGACTTACGCCCAGTAAAAGGAAAGAGGTCAATGCATATTTGTAGTGATTGATGCAGTTGAGCCGTGCAGTCCTTTTTGGTCCCGCTGGGTTAGTCGGGACTGCCATTTTGGTGGGTATAGATAAATCTAGATCGAATTGATATGTAGAGGGTGATTCTAGGAAATGACTGTTCTGTCTGTTAGCTAGTCAAACCACTTATTTTATTTTTGCTGTCGTAATACATGACCTCTAGACTGCAGTAGGTAGCCTTAATAACAATAGGGTATAGCTTTTGCTTGCATTTGCTTGACCAAAGTTTGGGTAAGAGAAGAAGAGGCAGAGGAAATGGGAAAGCAGGGATGTCAGAGGTGAGACTAGTTTTAGCAGTGTGAGCAAGACAGGTTAAAAGAAGTAAGCTAAAGGTTGCTCAATGTACTTTTAGTGGTTTTTATGCCAGTTAGATCTGGTTTAAGACAAGATGTAGCTTCAGCAGGGGATAAAAATAGCCATATGAATATTGGTTGGAGTAGAATCTGTTGGGAATATTTTAAAACATGCTGGCCTCATTTAACAAGCTGTTTGATACTGAGCTAGGCAATAGCACACAAAAATCTGGGTTCCCCCTTAGGAATCTTTGCTCTTCAGCCTTGAACTGCAGGTCTTGCCGAATAGCCCGTCTGCAGATGAGCTGAGATAAGGGCTCTGTTAAAACTTAATTTGAAACCTAGGTGAGAAGTCTGTTTCCCTAACTGGCTGGACACCTCTTGGAGAGGTTTTATAAGACTTTAGGACTTAAAGACATTAATTTTGAATTCTCTCAAATGCTAACGCGATTATTATTTCTTGAGAGGAATGCACATTTTACAAATTTTAATCTTTTGCTTGAGAAGCCTTACCTGTGCCGCTTGGTCATTTATCTCTTATTGGTATTTTTAATTTGCTATTAACATTTATTGACATCTATGCTTGTGAGTATTTAATTTTGGTGGGACTGGCTCTTCAAATCTTTCTTGGCTCCCAGAATGACTCTGGGGATCGACATACCACATCATATAATGCAGAGCATATAAACTGCATTTGACTTTCTGATATTTGGCTACATTTTTTCTCTCAAGGCCCTGGTGATATAATGGGCGCATGAAGATGGCCACATCAGTACTTTTGTGAACACGGCTCTAACAGGGTAGCCTGAAGAAACTTTCTGGTTTTGACAAAATTCATTTTTTATTCTACTTTTGAACTGCCAAGAGTGTTCTCCAGTGACTAAGGACAGAGAATATAAGATCTGGGTCCTACACTTGGCCATTCCCTTGACCTACTGGGTGACCACGATCAAGTTACTTAACCTCTCCGGGCATTGCTTTGCCCAGCAATACAGTGGGGATTGCACTGTCCACCACTCACTGTAAATGCTTTCAGGTCCTCTGAACAAAGTAGATATCTGAAGTATTAATATAAGCGAACGTAAAATGAAGCCATACATCACTGATCATACATATTTTTCCGTTCCTGTTCTACCAGGTTCTCAAGCATAAGAATAAAGTAGCTAATATGGTAGCATCGGAGTGACGTTGTGGCCATGGTGGTCCAAGAAATACAGGGGATGGAGGGAATTTTGTGGGAGATACCTGTTCATTGGACCAGTTGCATGGTTGAGGTAGACAAGCTTTTGAATGTGATGCATGCTTTTGGATTCTTTTGCTTTTAAGACCACTTTTTCCCCTGTCACTTCTGAAGAGATTTTGATTATATTATAATAGATTCTAAGGGTCCGATCTTGAGTTGATGGAAACTAGCACAGTTTTGTCAGTCCCCACTTGGCTTACTGACTTCTGTGGTCTCCTTCATCCAAGGAATTTAATGCATTTTACAATGGTGAACAAGTATTATGATGAAGATAGCGCATTCCTGTTGATTGATGCCAACTGAGAATCAGGTCTTAACATTTCAGAGCGTTGCAGGAAATTGTGGTCGTGCAACTTTTGCTGAAGCTTGAACGCGCTTCTTCATCTTTGGTAGCAATATAGTGGGTGCCGTTGTAATGTGATCTGAAAGGCTGAAAAGAGTTCATAAATTCATAGGTTCATAGATGTTAGGGGCTGGAAGGGACCTCGCAAGATCATCGGGTCCAGCCCCCCTGCGCTTGGGCGGGAAAGACTGCTAGGGTCAGATAACCACAGCTGTTCTTGTATAAAAGATTCAGGAGGCTGTCAGGTAGCCTGTGCTGACATTAATGCTTTTGGCATTAATGTCAGCACATTTTGTGTGACATTAATGCTTTTGGCAGCCACTCTCAGTCCAGCTAGCACCTCACGCACCTAGTTGGGCAGCAAGAAGAAGTTGTAGCTGCTCCTCAGAGCTACCGGAGGCAGTATGAGGCCTTCCAACCTCTCCTTGTCCTATTCCCCTCCCTAGCAGCAGAGTGTCATGGGAGGAGCGGCTGATGATCTGGAAAAAGGCAGAATAGGGAAGGCTGGTGGGAGGCTGCCTCACTAACCATGCTCTCAACGACTTGCTTTCCAGAGAAGCCTGCATCCCAGGTTGTGATAAAGCCTACTAGCACAGCCATGCATATGGGGAAATTTTCCCTGCTGCTGCCGTTGCTGCCCTTTGTACGCCCAAGAGGTTATTCACTAGGGCTGTTGGCCTTGATGAAGCCTTTAAGCCAACATACGCTTGCAGGATAGATGCAAATATGCCCACCGGCTAATTTGCATAGATGGCATCTGCAGAGCAACACAAAACTCAGTGGTGACGAGTAGCCTAGATTAAATCAGCATGTGGTTCAACTGTCAAAGCAGTATAACTGGATAACTTGCCATTATGCTGTATGAGGTATGTGCATAGGGGTATGTAAACCAGTGATGCTCTAAGGCAGTGGTGTCCAAGTCATTCGCCACACCCCAAGTTGGGCCGGGACCTTCAGTCCAGATCTGGACCCACCTGTAACAGCAACTTGAACTCCTGCGGGTGCTTGGTCTGCTGTGTGAGCTCAGGGTGCCCCTCACTCACCCCACCACAGCTGAAACAAGTCCCCAGTGGGGCTCCACTGTGTCAGCTCAGGGAGCCTCAGGTTTTAATGCTGCCACTGTTCATCCTGCTGCCAAATTCTTGGCTTGCCCAGGAGCCCCATGGGCCAAATGACATGGCTCCACGAGCAAGACTCATCCTGCAGCCTGGATGTTTGACAACCCTCCTCTCAAGTGCTGTATACTCAACAAGGGAGCCGCCTGTGTTGGGGCTGAATTTGGCTTAGTTTGTTGCCGCAGGGCCAGATTTCCCAATCCTTGCTCAACAAAGCTGGTGCTGAAAGCAATGGGAGCTTGCCTGAGCGGGCAGCAGAATGAGGACTTCAGCAATCAGTATTTCAGCAAAAAGTCTGCCTGTGATCATGCTTGGTTTTGCATGATTGATCAGAAAGCTCGAGTTGGAGGGATGTCTGTCTGGAACAACTCCCCTGATTCCACCGTGAGTCTTGCAGTCTGGCAGGGAGGGGATCAGTTGATAAAACCCTGGTCATAACCTGTTCAGAAAAAATTGAAACTGAGAACTGAAAGGCCCGGACCGCAGCAGGCAAAGCAGCTCCTCATGATTTCAGGTTGGAGGTGGTGACTTCGGAGGCCTGACTCCCACTGTCTGAATGCTCATTGGGGGCAGTGCTGGGGGCCAGCACGGCAGAGTGGAAGGAGGGAAGAGATCTACGTGACTATATCTCACACGATATATAGTCATGTAGATCTCTTTCTATATTGGGTATATTGGGTGGCATGTTCGAAGATGTTACCTTCCCTCCCTAAAGCTGCAGTGACTCCCCAGGCAGGTAGCCATAGAAGACGTTTGTGTGCAGAGACTTCAGGTTCAGACAACAGGTTGGTAGCTCCAGCTTCTCTGACCTAGCTCTGCTTGGCAGCAAACGCATGTGCACCCAGGCTCCTGAGAGCCACCGGTGGACAATCCCCCACCCTCAATAGCTTACAGGCTTTTGGTGTGTTGAGGGGAGCTGAAAAGCATAGAAAACATACCGATCGTAGAAATATGGGGTTGGTCTTCAAGTGATCACCTATTTCATCTGCCTGCTCGGAGAGATACTTTGATCATTCTGGATAGACATTTATGAAATAACATTAAAATACAAAGGATAAAATACACCAAAGAGGAAAACCAAGACCTCAGGGAGGAAACAGAAGAGATGCCCATGTTGCTGGTACTTGCCAGAGGTAGAAGATCCACCACAACAGGTCTGGGAGCCGTCTGAAGTACAGTGCCTCTCTTATTCGATTCCAGAGGGCACGTACAGGTCCATATGGCATTCAAGAGATTACCTGTTATCTCCAGTCCTGTCAAGACATGAGTCATCTGTGCTTGACAGTGCTTTACTGCTTTTTTGTTTGGAGACTAGAGATGTAGCTGCGGAAAGCTCAGCCCCACAAGGTATTGAACGCGCTCAGTTTCCAGGGCTGGCAGAGGATCTGGAGCAAGCTCGGCACCTCCCGAGAACAGGGTCAGAGCAGGGAGAGAATCAGATGTTGTCACACAAGAGCTACATGGGATCGTAGGACAGTCCCTTAGGGCTGGAAGGGACCTCAGGAGGTCAACGGGCCCAACCTCCTGCTCAAGGCAGGATTAGCCCTATGTGAACCATCTTATCCAAGCATGCATCTAACCAGCTTTTAAAAGCTTCCCAGGATGGATACTCCAGAACCTCTCCGGGTAGCCTGTTCCAATGCTTAACTACTGTCATAGTGAGAAACTTCCTCCTAATTTCCAGTCTAAATGTGGTTGGTTGTACCTTGCATATGATTAATTTAAAACCTATGTACAAGATCTACACATGTATCCTGCAGCACATATTCCAGGGGGTGGGCAAAATGCAGCCCGCGAGCCGGATGCAGCCCTATCCTATCTGGTCCACGGGGCCCCTAAAAAATTTAGAAAATTAATATTTATCTGCCCCTGCTGCCTGTCATATGGCCCTCGATGGCTTGCCAAAACTCAGTAAGCGGCCCTCCACCCAAAATAATTGCCTGCCCCTGCCATATTCAGACAAATCTTTATTCAGAGTTTGTTCCCGGCAGGAAATTCAGGGTTATATACTTGAACACTGTCGTGCTTTCTAGCCACAATGTCCATCTCTGCAGTCAGTTATCTTTACATTGCTTCCACTCTGAATAAACTCTTCCACTGAAGAGGACGAGCTGACCTCAGATCAGAGGTCTGACTGGTGAAACACCAAATTAATATCCTTTCTCTGCAAGCAGTATGCTAGCTGGGCTGTCCACCCTGGCTATGACGAACAGCAGGTGTGATGAATTATCCTCTGTAATTGCTCTCACCAATTGCAGTTCAGTTTAGTAGCATAAATCTGCAGGTCCCAGCATCTCCAGTTGAAGGTGCTCATTGTCCAGTGTCACAATAGACATATTTCTTCCATTCTCACATCTATGGGAGGGTGACTACAACCATAGGCAGTGGAAGGCTAGGGCTAACAGCCCAGTTGTGCCACCTCCGTGCCCTGCAGCTGTGGTGCCGTGCCTGGTGCTCCCGCCACGCACTCCTCGGCTGTGTACAGCAGCAGCAATGTGCGCCGGCCCCGTTACAGCCATGCAGGAGGGAGGGGAGAGGGTCAGGCGGCATGCTCCGCACTGCATCCTGCACCAGCCCCACCAAGTAATATTTTCTCCCGCCACATATGAGCACAATGCAACAGTAAATTTGTCAGCATGCTGTTTCATGCGCAGATCTTCACGCTGAACAGTATCATTCAGGAATAGCCCCGGTTGGTTCAAAATCTAATTTGTATAACACATTCCCTCAAGAAGATACTGGGGAGTGGTAAGCAATGTGAAATACCTGATTGACATGCAGTGGAGAATGTTACAGATATGTGTACCTAGCTTGCTTGTGCGATTCCTCCAGTGAGTGTGCTCCGATTCTGCTCAATGCCTTCTCTTGTCCCCAGTGCGCAAAACTTTGAGATAACGTTGGTTCTTGCTCCAAAGGTCTTACCATCATCATACCACTAACTTGTGCACCAGTTTGGATGGTCCTACTGACTTAATGACCTGCAGAGGTGACCATTTGACCATGCCTCTGATCCTTGGAAGTTTTGGGGGCTCAAATCAAACTGAATTTATGACCCCTCTTGGTTTTCTTTCAACCTCACTCCCACCCTTTGTGTATTATGTATTTTGAAAATGCTCCTATTTATAAAGCAGCAAACTAGAAGTCATGTGTGTGTGTATATATGTGAAATGGGTTCTCATTTTGGTTAGCAGTGGTCAGGCTGCCCGTTGTGGAGGAGGGTGGGAGCATGTATTTGAGTGCTGTTGTTTGATTTGGGCTACAAACAGGGTTTGTGCTTGTCCCTCCATAATGCTTTTCATGGGGGACAAACACAAGTGTCCAGATGTCCTTGCTTCTTGTTGCACCACAAATGACTAAAAAGGGCTGCACAACTCCTAGTAACAATTTTTGCTGCTTTATCACAGGGGACGTCTGTACACTTTTGATGCACTAGGTGTGCCCTGGCAATTCCCCTGCAGGGGATTCTTGAGTCACGTGTCTGCAGGCTTGGGCATGGGGTCCCCGCTCCATGCTTGTAGATGCATGGCCCAGGAATTCCTCTGCACGGGATTTCTGGGACACGTTTCACGCTGCCTGGCCCTGATCCCAGGTGCCCGTCTGCAAATGTGGAGCAGGGACCCCACAAATGGTTCCCCAAACATTTAGATGCACATCCCCAGGCTGTAGCCAAGCATGCAGGGCTCTTGTCCCGCAGAATTGTGCCCCCAAAGCTCCAGGCCTGGCAGGACTCAACCCAGTGGGACAGTGGCCCCAGCCAATGTCTGAACCAGCTAGTTGAGCAGACCAGGACGCATCGCAACATAGCTGATCCCACCACAATAAATGTTCATAGCCTGTTCATAGCCTCACTTTTAGTATCCTTGTTTCCAGCCTAGGAGGAGAAAGATAATGCCTGGAAGGGCATGGAGGCCATTCATACTCACCCTGTTTTGGAGCTAAACATCCAGAAATGAACCCAACTGGGAAGGTTTAGTCTTCCTATGTGAGCCTGAGGTGCTGAGTTCTTCTGCTTACCCTCACCCTCCCTTTCCTTTGGTTTGTTTTAGGGGGACTATGTCTGGATGGACCTCAAAACTGGTCGGGAATTCGATGTTCCCATTGGCGCGGTGGTCAAACTTTGTGACTCCGGGCAGATCCAGGTGGTGGACGATGAAGGCAATGTACGTATGAAGGCACAGAGGACTGTGTTAATTGCTTCTGTTACTGTTGCATGTTCGGCCCCTAATTACCATGAATGACTGGGAGTTGGAGTAGAAGTTGGACAGGTGCAAAGCCTGATCCTAAGCCTATTACAGTGAATAGGGTTATTTCCATTCTCTCCAGCAGACCGGGACCATGTAATAGGACACCATCCCTGCCCCAAAGCACATACATGGAAGACAAGAAAGTGCAGTAAGTTATAACAAAAGGGCAAGGAGGAGGGGGCAAGGAGGGCTGTGGCCAGATCATGCAGCCATACAAGGTTGTTTATGGCCACTTCTATTTCACACCCAGTTAAAAAGGTTTGTTTAAGCTTTTGCCTGTTTCCAGTTGTATTACTGCTAGTGATCACTATTATGGCCCTGCCACACATTCAAACTAAGGCTGGATAGAAACCAGTTTACTTTTTTTATAGCTGGATGGACACTTTTATGGTGCAATAATTACTTTGCATGTGTGGCTGGTCTAAATTTATTTTGTGATTAACTAGTTAATGTGTGGCAGGGGCTTAAAGGAGGGTGATCCAAGTGTTAGGGCCTAGGATGGGACTTAGGAGACCCAGGTCAGTCCCCTGCTCCATCGTATATTTTAGTGGCCTGGGACAAGATCCAGAAGAGGCCTTAGGTACCTAAGTTGGGTACTTAGTAGGAATGTAGGGTTCCCTATACACGTGCTCCAGGGGGGAAGGAGACGTTTTAATTAAAGCAGCTTTCAGGAGCTGCTCTAATTAAAATGCCACATGTCACATGAACGATGCGGGCCCCTGGAGGCTGTGGGGGCACAGTGGTGGGACCACCATGACAGTAAGCGGGGGAGTTCCCATAGATGCTCCCAGTGGTGTTGGTGGCAGGGCTGGCAAGCGGCGACCGTCCACAGGTGGTCTTTTCGAAGGCGCCTTTTCATAGGGGGTGCACCGCCATGCTCAAAGGGTGCATGTGCACCTGCATGCACCCCCTACGCTTTGCCACTGGCATGTCATGTATTCAGCACCCCACATTTCAAAACCTTCAGGCACATAACACAAATTAGACACTGCGCTTCAGCTGCCCAAGAGGCCCAGGAGGCCTGCTCTGAGCACACCCAGTACACCCTCACAGTATTAAGTGTAGCACCCACTGTCACTCCTACACACCCACAGCCTTGTCACAGCTGTGACACTGCCAGAATCAGGGCCCAGCACCCAGGAAAGTGCTCTTGTCTCTGGGATACAGCATCAGGCCCCCTCTGGGGACTTTCTTTCCAGATCCAGGACTCTTATTCCTCTCTCACACAGTTTATGGGACTGGTAGTGCCTTCAGCCCAGCCTAACCTGGTGGTTAGGGCACTCTTTTTGGGAGTGAAAGACATAGGGCCTGAAACCCTGGGAAAGCGATGGGAGTTCAGACACCCCTCCCTTTTTCAGCATTTCCTAGCATCTAGCCTAGGCATTCTTCATGTTTGGCAGGCATACTGCTGTGAATCCCACTCCCACTCCCCATTTCAGGGACAGAGAGCTTGAGTACCAGTGCTGGGTTTGTGAAATCCCCCTCTGGAGCCCAGAGCCTACCTCCTCGGTCTGGCAATGTTCAACGCCACTGTACCCAGGTCCATTTACTCTTCCTTGGCCCACCTGTATAACGGGTATAATAGTACTGCCCTTGATCATGAGGGTATTTTAAGAAAAAACATGTTGAAGAATGAAAGCTTACTTACCTATTCTGGTGACAGAAGCCACAAAAGTATCTTAGGAGGTGGTATTTTTAGTAAACTCTGTTCCTGCTACTTGTTCCTCTCTTCTAATATCAATCCTGTGTATCAGTCCTGTTCTCAAATTCCCACAGATCTCTTCAGGAGCAGCGATCTGCAACATTTTCTCCTTCCCTTTCAAAATAGCTTAGACAGCCACATGATGCAGCACAGCAGCAAAACATGAGCTCCTGGTTGAATTGTTTTAAAATCCACCTTTATTTTTCTCTCTGCAGCCTAGAAGGAGTTTCTGAACCTCCTTTTCTGGTCACCCAGGGATGATAAAGTTGCTTAATTTATTATCAGACTGCAGATGGGTGGGGGGAGGGAACCAAGGCAGGGATGAATGGAGTGATCTGCAAAACCCACCAGAACTGGCCTCCGAGATCATAAAAGCAAATGAGTCCCGAGATTTCTTTGATATACCAGTATTTATTTATTTGCTTATTTATTCGATGCATATGCCATCTTTACCAACAAAGGCTCGGGGCAGCTTACAACAAGAGAACAGAGCTTACAATAAGAGAACAGAGTCCCCTGTAAAACAGGAGAGCAACAAGAGAACAAAACACCTTAACCACGTACTAGACTATCCAGATAAGACACAGACCCTCCCCCGAACAATATCTCAGCCAGGCTTTGTTTGCTCAATCCTTGCCCAAATAGGAAGGTCTTTGAGTGCTACTGAAAGATATCCAGATTTGGCTTGGATGTATTACAACAGCTCTTACAGGTCCCAGGTAAGATAACCCTTCATTGTTCCAGCAACTGAACATGCACAGACCAAGAGATGGGTCTCCACTGTAAAGAAAAAGAACAGGATTTTTTCAGAAATGCAGCTCCAGGAGAGGACAGATGATTTTTAACACACTCATCTAGCTCGGCTTTACCAGTCATAGGAATGGCATTCAGAATAGTGATCCTTCTAGCATAATATCCTGTCTCTTCAAGAGTTTCAGAGAATCTGCAACATCCCTCCACTCTCAATCCCTCCATTCGTACCCTGACACCTGAAACTCTAGTCTTCCTCAATATCTCGCTTTAATCCTATTCAATATAACCGTGCATGTTCTTATTGGCACGAGGCTTGACTCTTTTGCTGATGCTGCCAGAATGGCGTAACGATGCTGGAGAATAACTGTGTAACGTTGTAAAGAGGCTGTAAAGAGCCTTAAAGTAGGCTTGCATGCCACGCACTCAGCCTTTCAAAACCCCTTTTTGCTACCAGAGCAGAGCGAAGCAACCTAAACGTCAAGGAGAATCAAGGCCATAAATACCACGTTCTCTGTTTTTGGATCTTGCTAAGCTGCATGACTTCAGCAATACCTTGTGGCAGTGAGTCTTATGAGATCGTCAGTGATGTCAAAATGCAGGGGTCTGTAAGGAACATGCATGCAGCCATGTATGATGTCAAAATGCAGGCACCTGTAAGGAACCAAAGTAAACTCAAAGAGGAACCAAGTGCCCATATTTCTAAATGCTTTCAATCCATGCAGCCATCTGAATAGGGGTCTGTACTCTCCTTGATACACACTCGGGTTGTCCTAGATGTCTTCTGTCCAGGGGGCCACACTCTGGCCTAGCAGGATGGCCGTGTCCTGGTCTTGCAGCAAACTGAGACAGCTCCCTCGACTGCTACTGTAAACCGTAACAGCTGCCAAGCATTAAGAAACAGTGCTGTACCGCACGTATCCTGTTGGTTCCTCATCTATGGAGGTGCTTTTGTCTCTTGTCACCGTGCTACCCTCAGGATGTCACGTCGGACCTGTTTCCCCTTTCTCCTTGCAGGAGCACTGGATTTCCCCTCAGAATGCCAGCCACATCAAGCCCATGCACCCAACCTCAATCCATGGGGTGGAGGACATGATCCGTCTGGGCGACCTGAACGAGGCCGGGATCCTGCGGAATCTGCTCATCCGCTACCGGGAGCACCTCATCTATGTGAGTGTCGATCCCAGGAGAGCTACCTTGCCCCAGCTAAGCAGTGCTTATTTCTTTTCTCTCCTGACCTGATCCAAGCCAGAAGCCCCTAGCTGGGCACAGCTACACATTCATTAACTTTTAGTACCTGTAAATCACAGGTACTAACTTAGTGCACTGTAATCAGCTCTACTGTGCGTTAGCACCGGCGCATGCTTTTTAAGTGACGCTAATGCGCAGTAGACTAATTCTGCTGCACATTAGCACGGTTTTTTCATGCTGTGCTAATGTGCAGTAGAATTAGTCTACTGCGCCATTAGCGTCTCATGTAGACACACTCACTGAGTATGCCTGTGCCCGGCAAGACTTTACATGCTATTCCAACAGGGCATGAGATGTCATTGTAGGGGGGATACATGAGTTAAAGGAAGAGTTTATTTGCTGCATGGTAATTAAACTGGAGTCCTTTAGTGAGGCTAAATGGCGAGCACTCTTACCTCTCTCTTTGAGCTGTGCAAGGATTAACACCTAAAGCTGGCGCCACTAAGTAGGGGACACCTGCATCGCAACGAGTACTGGCGTTTGGGTGAGAGGATGCCTGAGGTTCTGGTTGTCCACGTGGAAGTTAAAGGTGCCACGGCTGAGGGGATGAGGAATGAACTCCCTGCACTTGCCTTTGCTCCCTTTGTTTTAACAGCCTTGCTGTAGGTTTTATGTACAGGGGAAATAGCCAAAGACTCAAAACCATATCAGACTGTGGTATCACTAAGGTGACAACAGTGAGAGACCAAAAGCTGAATGAGGTCTAGCGGGTTGTGTGCATTACGACTTGATAAGAAGGCAGCAATCTCTAGAAATGGGAAGCCATCAAAGGAGTTAACCCTGGGTTGGGGGGCAGGGATGAAGCAATGACCCTGAATTTCTGTGTACTTGGGTTTTTGTCAGCTCTTTCAGAGTGACTCTTGGGGGATGCCCTACCCAACAGGGCCACTAAAGTAGCCTTGCAAACAGCACCATGCCTAGCCTCCTGGCAGCCCCAGGTGAAATTTTAGTATCAGAGATAATAATAATAATTATAATAAAAGTTACCATTTTGGGGCCCCCTTTCTGCCTGGCCCCCGGGTGGTCACCCAGTTTACCCATGCCTGTGTCCGGCCCTGTTTGCAAACCCCACCCGGGACATGAAAGTCAAGCTGGCTTCTTGCTGCCTTGTGCTGGGCTGCTGGTTCGAGAAATTCCACACCTCTGCAGCCCTTCCTTAAGTGACACCTGTTCATCTTCCCTGATGTTAATTGGAGCTGCATGTGTTTAATGGAGAGTATAATTTGGAGTCAAACGGAGTTGTTCTGCTCCAGCTCTGCGAAAGAATGCAATTCCAAAAGACAGAATTGCCTTTCAGAGTTCCTGTTTTAACAGAGAGGGGTAATTATCCATGTTAGTCTAATGTCAGGCTGAAGGCAGTGCGGGGGAGTTCAGATAGGCATGAGCTTTGACAGGTGGCAGCCTACTTCATCAGACCCTATGACTTCATTGTGAAAATGAATCCATTTCAAATGACAAAGGAGGTTGCTGTCTACAAAAACTCATGCCTGTCTGGACTAGTTATTCTCTAAGGCTAGGGCCATACCTTCAAAAAGCCTGAGCCTGAAAGGATGCAATCTTTGCTGGTTAGTCTAACCTGACTAGTCTAAACCAGTTTGTGACTGAAAAGACATCCCCTCTGGTCTGAAAAAAATGCAGGCACATGCCTGCAGTGGCTCAGGCTAGAAGCAGGGGGACACTAGAGCAGCCCTCCCTTCCCTTGTACAATGCTGAGCTGAGGGGGGCATGGCCAGCAGGATGCTCTGATTAGAGAGGGGTTCCCTCCTCTCCTGACCAGCCCAGCAGGGAATTGATAACACAGTGTTTATCAACCCATTAAGAAAACAACAGAGGGACACTACCAACTACCTGTTGATTCTGCCTTTGTCCAGTCTGCCACAGCATGGACTGTAGCCAGCATGTGGTCTGCTAGCTAATGGTGAGAGGAGTCTGTGTAAGGCAGTGGGGATGGGGGGGGAATCTCTGCTTAGCAGGGAGTGAGGTGGTGAGGAGGGAGCAGGGGGAAACAAGGCAGACACCTGCAGTCTCAGCCAGCGCTCCACCCAGGGAACACAGGGGAGGGGCCAGCCCTGCCATGGAGCAGAGAGCCCTGCCCAGCCCAGAGACCATGCCGGGGGCATCTGGTTTAACTTAAACCAGCAAGGGGTCTGGGACAGACATTGCATAAACTGGTTTCATAGTTTCATAGTTGGTCGGGTCAGAAAGGACCTGAGCAGATCATCAAGTCCGACCCCCTGCCATGGCAGGAAAGAGTACTGGGGTCAAACGACCCTGGCTAGGTGTCTATCTAGCCTCCTTTTAAAGACCCCCAGAGTAGGACTGAGCACCACTTTCCTTGGAAGTTGGTTCCAGATCCTAGCCGCCCTGACAGTGAAGTAGCACCTCCTGATAGCTAGCCTGAATCTACTCTCTGTCAACTTATGGCCATTATTCCTTGTTACTCCCAGTAGTGCTCGGGGCAACAGGGACTCTCCCATTGCCTGTTGGTCTCCCTGCAGGTAGCAGGTATGCTGCTGGTTCTTCCTCCCTGCACTTGTCAGTATTGAATCCCATCTTATTCTCATCCACCCACTCCTGTAATCTGC